CAGGTGCGATTATTTGATGGTTGGCAAAACAATATGATGGTTGGAAAAGCAATATGACGGTGCAAAGACACAACGACCAAAAACATGATAAACGCTTAGTTTATGGATAGGTTGGGCGAAAATCGGACTTGAACGGTTGATAAATAGCCCGTTTAAATTGAAAAGTGTTCGTTGGGTCCAACCCGTCAGAAGCTAGCGGGCCACTGGGCTAGCACACTTGGCCAATCCGTCTATAAAAGCCCAGGCCAATTCCCAACGATTCGGATATCCATGGTCTGTCCTAATCCTGTCCGAATTTCCTCTATATGCTCTGCTCTGATGGACCTACCAGCCAGTGATTCTTCTTGCGAGAGCGAAGAGTATTTGCCAAGCGAGGTGGAGAAACAAGCGAGCGAGCAACTCGAACGCGATTTGCAGGCAATCGAAACATACAAGGATGCTCGGGGTTTGGAGCGTCAGATGAGTGTCACGCTCGCTATCTCTCCGAGTTATGTGCAAGACTGGGATCCTCCTGCTGCTTTTCGGGAGTTGTATCAGAACTGGTAAGGTGAACCCGGTTGTTCTCGACCACGCTAACGTGAGATAGGAAGGACGCCATCTTGGAACATTTTGAACTAGACCGCCTCGATTTTCAGCCATACTACGAAGACAAAGGTGGCTGCGTATCGATCATCGTACCAGACCCTAAGGAACCGCATCAGCGCCGTCGGGCCTTGGGATATATCAAATATGAGAAGAAAGCAGGTCGAGTCACCTTGGCGAACTCTTGTGCTCAAATTCAGCCTGAGGCCTTGCAGCTTGGGCACACGTCCAAGCAAGGCAAATCCAACCTTGCAGGATGTCATGGGGAGGGGCTCAAGCTGGCAGCTTTAGTGATGTCCCGAAACGGTTACAAGGTGAAGATTGCTACAAGCAACTGCCACTGGAGGTTTTCTTTGCAGGGTCAATCCGGATCACGCTTTTGTTGCGTCATATGTCCGTCGAAGAAAGCTGATGCCGGCTCCCAGACAGACGCGACTGACGATATGGCTCGGTTGCGTTCCCGCATTGAGAGAGATGTCACCATTGAAATCGGCGCTATGCGTGACAGAAATGCACAGCCAGTTCCGCTTGACGTTTTTATGAAATGGATGGAAACAACGATGGACATCCGCGGTCTCTCTTATCCCTCACACATTATCGAAACCGAAGACGGAGACCTGATTCTGGACCAAAGATTCCAGGGGAAGGTCTACCTCAAGGGAACGCTTCTTCCCGCATCTGTTTCCAGATCCAGGACGTTCAAGTTCGGCTACAATTTCGCAAAAGGGCAGTTCGGTCGGGACAGACAAAATCTGCTTGACAAGCATCAAGAAGCCGACATTGTGCGGCGCATATGGGAGTCTGCCATTCGAAAGCACCAGTCGGTCATGCTCCCGATCTACATCAATCTCCTCCGAAACTTCCCTCAAGCAGCCGATGTTGAGTCAGCCGACCAGCTGCTGGAAGAGTCCACGAGGAAACTTATATGGCAGCATCTTCTGAAGTTAAATAACATCAGCCGAGAGCGAGGGTGAAATGCGGTGGATGAGGACTCATGATCGAAAGCGTCAATTCTCCAGATTATGGTCACAAATCTGACTTGCGACGGTTTTATGCCTTTGTTTGATGGCATTCCGTTCGCCTATCCGGGGGCAAGAATGGAGAAACCGAGTGCACCCAGATCTTCATACATGGCAAACGAGTTTTGACCACACACGGTCACAAATTCCAGGAAAGGAGCTACAGCAGCTTCCTCGCTCCGATAGCACCACCCCCGAATTTCCGAGTCCAGATTCTGGTTCATCCTATGCACTACCATCGTCGTCCCCACTACCAGCTCCTTCAAAGGGCCATCGAATGCCCGACAGATCCGCAAATTGTCCTTTTGAAGCCAATAACGGCCCATACACGCAACAATGCGGAATGTTGGGCAGCTTGCGTGGATTCATCTCGGTTAAGGAATGCTACTACGTGAAGCTATAGCTGCCCGTTATACGACAAAGCTACGAACTTGGCTATTTGAAATTGCTCAGTCGACTGAAGGACATGCGATTTTCCGGGTGTGCTCCGTCTCAGTATGTCCCTGCCCGACGTAAAACTTGACGCAGTCTTGGCCCCTAAATTCAGGGGAAGGGTGCCGGGGCTCGATCAGCGGATGGTGGAGAATTGAGCTTTCCCCGGGCGAATCGCAACGCTTCTTGCAGTCTAGACGGATCTGTTCCAATTGCATATAAGTCGGGACATCGGCATGCGACCTTGCTTCAGACTGGATTGAACAGCGGTGTTTTCATCAAGCCAAGTAGCCTTCAGTCCCCGGGTGCTGTTCGTAGGTTGTCCTCCACATAAGAGGTGAGATTAGAATGACACTAGGAGATTAAAGGACGCCTGCAAGATTGGATTGACGCATATTGGTACGTCGTGCATGTCTCGGTCAATGATTCCTGGTTTAATTATTATTCTATTTAATATCTTTTTTCTTTTTCAAACCGCTTCTTTCTAACCACATACGGCCTAGTGTCTCATTGCACCAAAAAATAAAGCGATCAGAACCGGGCCGCAGCTCGGCCCCTATCGGCACGGAACGTGAGCTTCTTACGTTCTATGTCATGCATAGCGCACAGTCCATGCGGCTTGATCTCCTGGATCTACCACTGATACATTGACCTCATCCATCACGCCTTGCAGCCTCAAGGGTTATGAACAAGAGAAACGGGGGTTATACTGTTGTTTGCGCTAATGGATTTGGAATTCAACCCCTGCCTAGCGCAGATATCTCGGCACGCATGCTCTGGCTAATTTTGATGCTAACGCGGATAGGGGTATCTGCAGCATTTTGTTTGCACACGATAGAGTTCCCCTGGCGAAAGCTGATCGAATAATAATAAACGGTTGGGGCGGATCAATGGCCGAGACTATTTTGTAATCGCTTGCTTTTTTCATGAGAAAAGTTAGGCCTTCTTGGACTTGGGGACATTTTGCCGTGCGGTCCGCCTCCGGGTTTATTTAATAACACGACTCCACAACGGCCAAATTCTAATCGCAGCGCAAGCGAATTGGGATTGACGGAAGAGCGGATCAATCCTATGAGAGCAAGAGACGAAATTTGGCGGAGCATTGCGGTACTTTCCTAGTAAAAATTCCAACCACAGACGCGCTCTGATTCGCCGTAGACCACCGCAACATTGTGGCTCTGGGACATGATTGGCTTGATTGATGAAAAATAATAAAATTACCCCTCGTGCGTGGATCTGTAGGGAACGGTGGATACGCTAAGAAAAGCGGGTCAGTTTGATTCGATCCGGGCACGACAGAGCTTTCCCCGGACAAATCGTAGACCTTTCCTACAGACCACTCCATCAATGTCTAAATGGTCATCGCTGTCATGGTTACCTGCCTGCGATTACTCGCATTCAACTACAGTACTGAGCTCACCCCGATGATAATAAATTGATATTGTGGTACGTCACAAATGGCGGTTCTGGCGCGGAACTTGACCAAAGGCGACATGTGACCCTCTGTAACCGCAGGAGAAGGCCAAAGAATTATCTCGCGTGCAAACAAAGTTCTTAATAATTTGTTTCAGATCTCTATGAAGATAGTTGTATTCCTTCACTGCCTTTGACGCTTTGAACCTACGGTCTCTCGGGTTTTGACTGCATCTCTGCTCGACAAAACATCCACTTGTTTCCTTAACGCGGCCACTTCTTTACTCAACGTGTCTATAGCACCGATCATATCCAAATACTTTTGCTGCATTCCCTGATTCCACAGGTCCTGGTCCTCGAGCGACTCTGCATTAGATCTGAAGCGCGTCAGTGTTGGGATTCTTGTCCTGTCTCCAAGGGATACCTACTGCACCCGTTCATCCAATCTATAATTAAGCCATTAGCATGCGATATCTCATAAGGCAACCAGTTCCAAACTCACTCTGTCATACACTCGATCATTTTCATCATTGACTCTGCGGAATACTCAGGATTCAAAAACTTTACGGATCTGGCTCCACCCAAGACCCGTTCCTTTGTCTGTTCCTTGGCCTGATGTCCCTGAGTTCCCTCCTCATCACTGCATCTATCCATGAAGGCAGCCCTGCTATCGTCCTCGGATTCATCGGTCTGTTGGGAATGGCAATCGTCGTCTACAGAGTCGGCGATCGACGTGTGGGGGCTCCCAATGTTGTTTGACTCCGGTGAACCTGATGAAAGCAATTGAGACATTCGGTCTACATACCGCTGCGAATTTCTCCGGTCACCCATTGCAACTGTCTTGAAGTCAAGCAGGGGCCTCGGGGAGAGACTGTGAAATGAGGAATGGGGGATAGTAAGAGATGGGAGAATCTGATCCTTTAAAGATTCGAAGTGAAAAGTGGCCGTACCCAAACAAGTCTAGCAATAAATACCGGAGCTCAGTATCTCCCGATTCTATCAAATCAATAAGGTTTGAGTAATTTAATCCATTTCCACCAACAAGGGGCCCTCTCCCTGTCAAGTTCCCGAGTGTATCTCAAGGTATAAAAAAGATAAATAGAAAAAGGGTAATCTTACCAGGTGACACGGCCGTTGAATATAGCCTATGCTTTCCGCAAGTGCCACGCCCCACCAGATGCGAATTTTATCATTGTATTTTTTATTTTGCGTCTGTTTAATTAAATATATCACCGTTCATTACGTTGTTTGTCATTTATCATTAAAAACTTATCGTTTATATTTCTAAAAAAAAATCCCAATTTTCATATATTTATTTTTCAATCCCGGACGACTTCACTTTTACACACAGATCGTCGCGAAAGGCCGTTGCCTGTCCAGAAAAGGCTTGTGCCCATGACCGAATTACGACCGAAAAAAGTTTGACTTGGCGTAATAATTATCCCGAAGGCGGTAAATAACCTCGGATATCGACCGTTCCTCAACCGGTGAAGTCTACTGACAGACCACCAATTTGACCTCACAAAACTGTCAGGCCCCTTCGCCCACTTGGACAGCCTAAGAACAACCTGGTAACAGCATTATGCAGCACTTTTCTCATTCACAGTCACTGTTCTCCCTCGGCATCTACACAGAAGCCAAAGGCCGACCGGGGTCAGGATGCATCTGGTGGAGAACTATTCGACTAGGGTCTTGTCGGGCAAGCCCGCACTCATAGTTGTAACGGAACACCGCAATTAATCAAGACCGCTGTAGAACTTTCCCATCCTAGATAAACCTGTGACAATCCCCGCGTTCGACCGACTTCCTTTCACAATTTTTATTCATCAAATCTTTGCACCATCCCACCTTTCACCGCCATCCTCATTCAGTGGTTTACCTGTCATACAAGATGCCTAGAACTAATATCTCTAAAACCAACAAGATCGCCTGGTCTTCATGGGAAAAAAGGAACCTTCTTTCCTGGCTGCATCGGCACCGAGGGATGTCTTGGAAGGAACGATCCAGGGCATACCTCAGGCAGTTCGGCGTGAAACGAACGGGCGAGGCATTGAGATGCAAACAAAATTGCCTGTTACGGAAATATCACTCGATGCAAGAAAGTCTGTCCGAGACCCCTAGCTCGGGAGAAGCTCCGTTACGAGTCCGACGCGAAGAAGCTCGGAGATCTTGCTTGCCATCTCTTCCAAACTTCACACCTAAAGGCTCCCGCACAAAAACTCGCCATTTGATTCATGCGCTGGAGCAGCTGGCCGTTTTGGAATGCCGTCGCTTGACAAATGACTCGGATAGAGCAAACGAGAAACTACCAGGTAAGATATAGCGGCAGCTTTGGCGGTTGTCCAGGTGGGCTAATGATTCGATAGGATATACGACCCGACTGGCACACAGTTTGAGGTCCGAACCCTCGCGACATGTTTCGTATTGCTGGAAATTTGTACATCGTATGGCAGCTGCCGCGAGAGCGTCACGGAATGTTGCGAGCTTATGACCCTCAATGTTCATCCCTTCTACCCACAATTCAATGGACATGATGCTATCCACCTTGCACGTTTTCAAGGTAGCTATGTAGATACAAGTAATATTGGCACTGAGGGTCTGGCTTCCCATCGGTGGGCCTGTTTGAGACAGATCTATGTTGACCGCCGAAGAACACGTAGCGTGATTCCCATGCTGTCACAAATACCTGAACCTAGAATTGCCACTGAAGGTAATATAATGATGTTACCACTAGTATCAGCAACCGCCGCACACACCAGATTCCTTCCGCCAGTGCATTCGCACATGACGGTCGCTTAAATCAAGTATGCAGCAACTTTCGCGTTTTATCAGAAGCCATTCATTTCTGACTTCGGAAACCAGACCATGCAAGGCTCACCGCAAGGCAAAAATGAGGCTTCCCCTATAGTAGAAGCTGGACCTAGTTTGACCAAGTACTGTAGCGGCCTTCCCTACGGACTATTTAATGAACCGACAAAGTTCCTTGTTTATTTGGCTCCTTATGGTAACCCTGAAATTTTCTTGGTTATGGCCTTCGTTGTGGACAATCATACAAGTATACCAGTGAAGATAGGAGCGGAAAAGTCTCCACTTCCTGGAATAAACCCTGTGCTTGTTCCGCCTTGCTCAGCTGCGGATGTGACACCGGGGGTGTGTAGAGCCAACCAGGTACACCATGCCAATGAAACTACCTATGCCAGAATGCTTAGGGAAGAAGCACAAATGGACATGCGTTTCAGTATCACGGTTGGTGCGGCTAACTGGGCACTGCTGGCCGGCTATCTGGTCATTCCCGGCACGTTCACTTCATTGCAGACCTCAAACCAGGTTGAAAAGACGTTACAAACCAACAGGACCGGCCGTGCAGTTCTACATATGATTCAGAACCCCCCACTACTCGCCATTGCGTGCTTGCTTTTTGTTAGTGGAATTGCGGCTCTCATGTGGCTGATGCATTTCCCAAAGCTCAGGGGAAACTACCCCTGGCTGATCAACAAAGTGTTTGTGTAAGTGAGCAAATCCTAACTAAGAAGCCAGAACCAAATCTAACCCTGAACTAGACCCCTATGCCTACATGCTGCTGCCGGGCTGCTGACCACTGTCATCAATGTCTGTACATCTCAAGGTGGGGATTGGTCGGTAATGGCTATTATAACAACCGTTGTTACTGGAGTAACTCTTCTCATCTGTTCAGCACTTCTTGCGCTTTACAATTTCTTCAAGCTGGAGCGGGTCAGAAAAGAAGATGAAGATATTCGGCGTTATCGAGCCTCCATAGCTCCTGATACATGATAAAAGATTATTTTGACAGGAGAAGGGCGTGTGATCTGAAGCATCACGGTTGCATTGGTACTGGTCTTTCCCATCTTTTCTTCTATTAGATTCTACCCCTGTGGAAGTCTTTGCCTGTTGAGTTTAGGCGTGAAATCTCACAAAGAGCTGAATGTGTACGTATATCTTTGAGTACTTCCCGATATTTCTCTCCTTCATTATGTTGTATAACATCACTTCTTGTTCAGTTTTCCGATCCCCAATCATTATTCATCACGTGTCCGTATCGACTAATAACATTGATCCAAACCCAGAAAAATAGCATGTCCAATCAATCGTGAAATAGATTTTCGTACAGAAGCCCCCGATGGTCAGTAGATTGAAGGTCGGCTAAATGACACTCAGTGACGCTACTCTTGCTTAAGAGCAAAGACTATCTATGTGAGGCTGGATGGACCTCCAGACCAAGTCAGTGTAATCGTAAAGTGGGCAGATTTTCAGGACCAGATGCACAACCTGATACGTCCAATCACCTGCTGGGGGAGAAACACAAGTAAACTTTGTATTTTGCGATATGTTAATTTGGCTTTCTCTAATTCTTAAATTTGAAATCTGGCTAACATACCTAATAAATGAATTCTTGAGGTCAGCACATCTGTGTGCGTCAACAAACAACCTACTGAGCATCGTCGCAAATAATATTCAGAGATATCTAGTGGCAAGTAGAGGGTGGTTAAGAAGGGTGGTTAAGAAGGGTGGTTAAGAAGGGTGGTTAAGAAGGGTGGTTAAGAAGGGTGGTTAAGAAGGGTGGTTAAGAAGGGTGGTTAAGAAGGGTGGTTAAGAAGGGTGGTTAAGAAGAGCGGTTAAGAAGAGCGGTTAAGAAGAGCGGTTAAGAAGAGCGGTTAAGATCTAAACTAGCGATCGATTATTAATCGGACCATGTTGGTCATCTGGCTTGGTGATCCCCACCATTTGTTCAACGCAAGCACTCTTTCCCTAAACACATTGACAACCCCGAATCAGGAACATTCTGCGCATTAGACGAACCACCTGCCAGCAAAGAAAAAGACGGGCCTTTGCCTGGTACGTGTAGGATTACTGTGAACAGCTTTCATTAACCCTTGAAATCTGCGGTACCCAACTATTCTTCAAAATTCGTAAAAAAAATTTACAGGGTGATCAAACAGCAACATTTGCTATCATTTTCAGTCAACCAAATCTCAAATATGGCTATTAGCAGAATGATGATCCTCTCGTGTTGAACACAACCAGAAATTATTCAGACAATCATGTGAGTACAAGCAATGAGGTTTCACACAATATGGCTGTTATATCATGGGTATATTCGGATTGTTATTGACCTTCTGTCTCAGGCGGGCTTGATTTACGATTTCAAAGCGGAGTCAACACTGAGAGGATTGCGGGATTATCCGGCTCTGGTGATGAATGCGTGGCCTTTAAGTCTCGCGTGCATGAACGGTGGGAGTAATGGCGTGCTTCGATCGACAACGTCTGTACCCAATGCGCCCATCACTAGCCGCATCCTTGTAAAAACCCAGATTTCCCAACTGCACTTGGCGGCGGTATAGTCTCATTGGCTAGATTCTGTATTTCATCCCGTTCTAGTCTGAACAGAAAGCAAAACGGGAGGTGGGGCCGGAGACCTATTCTCGGATCCCCGCCCAATCAGTAACCCCCATCTCCTTTCTCTGAATTGGGTGCGAGATAATGGAAGAAAACCACCCGCACTAAAATTCTACTTTGATAACCATTTGGACGCAGGTACGATTAGTGTACTCCGCTTCAAACGGGTCAGATTCGGAATTCGAGCTTCCCACAAAAATTATACTTTACTCCATCCCCAAGGCATCATGTTAGACACGCAGGAATATGACCTACCACCCATTATTGTTGTTTGAACACGATCCACGGAGCGGAGGGGAAAAAAAAAAAAAAAAAAAAAAAACCGCCCCCCAATTAATATAGTGGTAATATATACTCTAGTGGGCAAATGATAAATTATCTAGGTGTCCACACACGTGATGTCAACAAATGGATTTATAACTAGCGCTTTCGGGGCCTCTGCGTAGCATCCGGACATCACTGTCTCCTTTTCATGAAACCACTCTCTCAATTAACCACTCTCTCAATTAACCACTCCGTGAAAATTGGAAACTTTGTCAAAGTGAGTGAGTGGCCCGCAGGAAATTGACACTGGGTTGGTCTTTAGCCTTTAAAGTGTGGGAATTTCAAAGCTTTCAGCAGCCGCCGCAGAAAAGAGCGCCTACTCAGGGACTGGCTCTTTGCACCCATATAAGATAGACGTGATATGAAGGGGAGGTATACAGCCACGCATTTTGTCTAAAATGTCACTGAAGGCGACTGAGCAGCATCCGTCTGCAGATGATGCCTCAAGCATTTACAGTCGCTCACCGGAATCTCCGAAAGACATGTTGAGTTCCATGCCAATGATACTTCCTCCTCAACACGATCTACCGGAAATAAACTCACTGGATCATCAGATTGCACTGGCCCGAGGTTCTACCATGGCATTGGAAACTACCCGAACGCGTCTGAAGTGCTCAAAGTCACGAAACCGCCTGTCACTTCAAGAGTTGAAGGAAGAAAGAATTTGTCAACGGGATCAACAAGAGAATGAGAACCAGTTTTATCGGTCTTGTTTCGAAAATCTTCTCAATTTGACAATGGCGATTATTGATGTTTCCCAAGAGTTGACGTTGCAGTATCACTTCGAGCCAGAGGCAAGACCGCTTGACAATGAACGGGTGTTTCAAGCAGTCTGCAAACTTCGTGTTGCTCTTGAGCAATCCAGAACTCGAGAAGCCCAGGCTGAGCAGATTTGGAAACGACAGTGGAAAGTCTCACGACTTAGTCATACCACACGCTGGATCTGATCCACGTGCGGCTGTAATTAGCCCTTGAATGTAACTAGCCATTGGATGATAGTGTTTTCAATCCAAGTGCAAAAAAAAAATCCGACGGCTACGAAGTGTAAATATATGAAATTATTGATACGAAGATTCCGAACCTACACACACACACAATTCATTAACGCCCGGCGGCTGAGCCGAAAGGGCAACTATCACTAATCTACCAGTACATGCATGTTTAGGCATACGCCGTGTCTCATTGGAGCCCATACAGTATTTCCTTCGGCATTGACTTCTCAGCTTTCAATCTCATAGTTGGACCCTGTGGGTTAGCATTACTTAGTAGACTGGCTTGAAGGCGCTTCTTCAAGTGTTCAACATCCCATCCTCGGCAGTTGAAGCGCGTCTACCGTTTGTCACAAGGTTTTGGGGTTAGTAAGGGGGGAGGTATTCTACCCGCGTTCGTTGGCTAGGTTAAGTGGCCTCAAGTCGGCCCGTAGCGATCGCAAATCGTATTGAGGCTAGCACTGCTTCCAAATTCGGCTTCCACTTTTGATCATCGGAGGGTGGCTTCCCTCCCAAGAAGAAGGACATGTTACTTCGGTGAGTGTGGGTGCATTGCAGCATTTCCTTCTGGTGCGCGGTCCACTTCCGACACCGAAACAGAAAGTGGTCCACGGTCTCTCTTGCTTGTCCACATGCACATTGATCTGTCTCGACGGCATTGATTCGAAAGAGATATCCATTGAGTCTTGCCATGCCGGTGCGGAGCTGGGCCAGCACGCTCGCTTCTTTCCATGATAATCGATCGTACAGCTGTCGCGTGTGTTTTCCTGGAAGTGCGGTATCCACTCGTCGGGAATGTCTTCCTACGTTCTCGGGCAGCTTGGGACCGCGCAATTTTGAGAGTTGTTGATTTCATCCTAGAAATCTGGTTTTGCGAAACGGCGTCTTCTTGTGTTGCGGCTCTCAGCCCTTTTCTGCGCTTCGGCTCAAGAATGGGCTCTAAGCCGGAGGCCAATAATGTTTGCCGCGAGCATGACAGTCAGGATGAGCGCTTCCCGGTAGTTGGGAATGTCAAGCCAACGCAGGCATTTTGGCAGGTGGACGAAGGCAAGTCGCCTCCAAGAGCCTATCATTTTCGATCGAAAAGGGCGAAGGAAGATCACATGGCGTCTTGTCCACGCCCAGAGCCACACATCTCGTGCAATCCAATAGATCAAGCAAATTGCTATAAATATAGCGGCCGAAGTGGCATATAAGTTGGGGAGAGATGTATCAGCAATCCATCGATACCACTTTGACCCAGTTGGGGGCATTCTGTTCTTTTTGCCAAGCTAGAGGGAAAGACCACTTATTCTTATAGGAAAGCATGTTTATTGTAGTACAGCTATTGCTATTCCAGTGAGGATCTTGGCTTTGTGGCCTTGAGTAATAGGGTGGCTGCGGTTTCTTCGGCACATTTCTTGCGGGCTCAAATGGACTGTTACACACTCAGCTTTCGCCACAATCCCCCGTTGAATACCCAGTGATGGCGTTGTTAACCGTCGTTTACCCTTCTTGGTACCTCTTCTTCCTACTCACAGGCTCGCGGGTGAAAATATTGAAAGCTGGTTATTCCGAGTACCTCAAAGTTTGATGCAAAATCCGGTCAATCGATCAAACAGGTCCCTCAGGTCGCTTTCCATCGGGCTTCTCTGGACACTGCAGCCTCTCCTTCGCCAATTCGGACATCTGTTTGTTGTGCTTGAGCTCTAGGGAGCAAATCTCTCGCTGAAGACTCTTGACATGTTCAAGCAAAGACCGATTTTGCTCCTCCAAACTGGCAATTTCGTTCGCGTAAGCCCGCAGCATGTTGTCGTTCGCATAAGCCCGCAGCATGTTGTCGCGGCTTTTCAGCATGAGAGCGTAGGTATGCTGCATTCTCGACATTTCAGCATATATGCTGTTAATGATGCCCTCAACTCTTTCAGTTGGATGTTGCCTGTCTGAGCCGACGTTAGTCAGGACCGTTATGATACTTCCACCCCAGCGACTGACCTCGGTGAACTTCTTTTTGTAACGGGGAGGGCCTCTGCAATGCCACTGGTCTTCTTTGTGGAGGCATTTGGTCTTCTCTGACGGCGAAGACGTTGTGTAACTTTCGATAATTAAATGGTGGGTTTGAAATCGTTGCGACCATGGCCTCTATTTAACTATCTTCCGAGGATGTAGCATTGCTGACGTCTCTATAGACCCCAGTATCATGCGACATGACATCACCTACTTTGAATGTCAAGGTACTGGCTCCCGGGATCGCGACACTTGCTCCTAGGGCAATTATCAGGGACAGAAAGCATATAGGATTATTGGCAAATGAATGCTATGTAGGCCCACATAGTGTATGTGGGTTCCCCCTGAACGCGAGGAAGCTACTGTACATTTTCTTTTGCATTCCGTGCTACGTCTTGAATCTGGTGCCTTTTATAGTTGTTATTAATATTGATTGTGTATTTCCAGACAGTATCGACCTCTATGTCTACGCGAGACCCTCACTGCGCTGTAATTGGTTCTAAAGGCTTGTATCAGGGCTTGAGCCATCAGAGATCTGTAGCTCTGAGACCTGTGGTTAAGCGGGCAGTGGAATTGTAGGGGATGCCAGCCGGTAATCGGATGGTCTGCAAGGCCTTGAGACAGCGGTCTTGGAATCTACTGTATCCATGGTCTGTTCGATTCTCCTCTTATATGCTCTCGATCACGCTAACGTGAGATAGGAAGAACGACTTCTTGGAACATTTTGAACTAGACCGCCTCGACTTTCAGTCATATTTCCGAAGACAAAAGTGGCTGCGTATCGATCATCGGGAGCAGCATCAGCGTGGTTTGGGTGGAAAGGCTGCCCGGTCCAACAAGCGGCAGAAGTTAGATAACCTCGGCCGAGAGCGAGGGTGAAACGCGGTGGATTAGGACTCATGGTCGAAAACATCAAATCTCCAGATTACAGTATGATCACAAATCTGACGAGTATTGCTGATACAATTGTCATAGAAATTCATAGCCAGTTGACAATTTCCAAGGGTCGGTCAACTGTGGTCATCGGTAACCGGTTGGCCCCACTGGGGTTTTGATGCTTGAGCGACAATCAGATCGTCTTCAGCCGATAAGTCGTCGGGGTATATGATCTCTACTGCCTAACCTGAGCATATATCAAGGGATTAAGCCTTGTTTGACAGAACAGATCAAATACAATCATGGTCCTCACAAGCAATGAAAGGCGCGCTTTCTTCAGACAACAGTGTCGTGAGGCATTGGCAGCCCATATATGTATGCTATAGTCTTCCTCTGCCTCATGAGCGAAACTAATCGCTCAGATGATCGACTTGGTCTTGTCGTCGCTCCCAGCGATGTCCGCCTACAGCCATCAGTCGGAGACAAGTACGCTTGGTCCGTGACGGAATCTAAGAAGAGCCTGTTGCAGACGAACTTGAGCAGTGGAAGCGTGGGCCTGTACAGGTCCATTTGCGAGGAGTTGGGCCGGTCGCTTGAGGCAGTTACTCCGCAGACGTTACAGGTTGCCCAATTGGAACGGGACCATCTGCCAAGGGAAGAGGTGAGCATTGCGATCTTGATAGTTGCCTGAGGCCAACGGAGTGCTAAATTGAATATAGCCTGGGCCAGCCCGTAGTGACGAGGAGGGAAACGGCTCTTTCACAGCAAAGATCCGCGAGCTGGAATGCGCCAATCATGAAATGAAGAACGAGCTTGGCCACACCAGCATCCATCTCCAGGAGTCCCTCGGCGAGAATCGCACATTACACGCAAAAATTCGTCAACTTCAGGACGAGTTGGATAGTATTTCATCTCGAGCAACTCAACTAGAAGACGAGTTGGTTCGTATCAGTGGAGGGATCACCAAAGCTATACAGGTGTTGCAGGAGTACGAAGCGCATGAGGGGGGCATGCTGCATGGAGGCAGGCAACGTGAATATTGTGCTAGCACAGACAGCATGGCGCTAGGAATACCGGCTCCGATACGCGACGAGGTATCTTGACTGACAGTTGTCATCGGGTGTTCGTGTATCTTGCGAGCGATAGCGGTCCGGCCAGTTTGGACTCCTGGGTGGGTCTGCAGTTGAACCCCCGTTTTGGGAAATATCGCTTTGCGCCTATCGCAACGCGGCTATGATCGCGCAAATACGCGTTGTTGCAATTAAGAACGTGGGTACTTGTCTTACGACGCATTATCTGGAGATAGCAAGCGCGAAGGTCTCTCCCAGGCCATACCGGACCAGGTTCACTTGGTTCGTGGTTGACACTTTGGATCGTGCTAGTCATTATATATATATCTTGCGCTCACCTTTCACACAACAGTTGCACCTGTTGTACGCCAACCGGATTTGTACGCGGAACACTATTTATGCCCCCCTATAATTACTATTGCACTACCAGCAGGATCCAGCTCCATCAGCCAAGGGTTTAGTTGCGTACTCTTGTACTCAGCTCGAAGCAATCACCACCCGGCATTTCGCTGGGCACATACCGCGCCTAACCTAAAGTGGCTAGAAAGAACACGTGACAGACACAGACTAAACTAAACCACCAGTAGGAATTTAGGGACTACGCGTGACCAGGTATACTTGTAATGATCCTATAGATGAAGACAGATACAGAATCAATGCGCTTGATGGCCTTTAGTTCCTGTTACTGGAGCCATCTACATGTGCACTATAAGAGCCCCTACCCCAGACAAGTCCGCTCCATTGACACAGGCTATCAGCGAAGCGAGGACCGTGTCTGATACGGACAAATAATTTCGGATATCCAGTGGCTTATTTGGAAGCTGCGTCTCAGGCTCGAATCAGACAAATCAGTCAGCTTCACCAATCTCGCAAATGATCCAACTCATATTGGCTATTATTAGCTTTTAATTAAGTCTGTAACGGCATTACCTGGTACCTAGAGTATGTCATTTGGGGGTCATAGCCAGCACCCCGCGGGGAGGTGATATTTCTGCTCTTGCTCGGACACACACAATACTATACCCCAAAATACGCCCAGCCCTGATCAAATAAAGGCACTAAAACAGTCCTGCGCTTCACTGGCCGCTAAAAACAACAATCGCGCTTTTGCAAAGACCTTTTTCTTTCCGGGCCGACGTGAATGCGCTGCACGATGGTTTCTCTCCCCTTATAATGGCGGCAAAATATGGCTCGAAGCTGATTACCGATCTCTTGCTGCGTAAGAAAAATTTGCGCGTGAAAGGAGAAACGCAGATGGCGAGAGTGTTCTGTGGTTGAGTGTGAATCAGCTCTGGCTTGCCATATTCAGGACCAACAGAGACTTGGTGAGCCTGATACTACCAAGAGGCGCCAATCCCAATACCACGCACCGATATGGTGTAATAGGGTGTCTTAGTGAGAAGACCACGGTTCTGCGTGGTATTGTGTTGGGGAAACCGTGGTCTTTCCGCGCAGGCAAGAATGAAGGATACATAGTTGCTGAGAGATGATTGGCCTAAGCCCGATGAGGTATAGCTCAGCTAGCCGAAACAAAACACTTGCATATCTCAGCGGCTTCATCGTGGGTCTATCACTGTAGCCCAAAATAGTGATATGACTGACATATATCCAATTCAGTATAGCCTAGTAAGCCTAGCTCGTTCAAATCCCGGCTGCTTGTTTATAAAAGCCAAGATTATCACCCTTAAGATTTTTCTCATAAATCAGCATTCAATCATCATTCCCTTCCGAGTCTATCAAAATCGAAATGCCACCCAAAAGGACCTCGAAGCCGATCACGGACTATAATGCCTTTGTCCGATTACCAGACCCATCTGTGAAACGCAAGAGAGCCGAAGCGACGAAAGAACGTCTGCGGGGAATTCATTTTAATTTCCAGAAGTGCTGATTTCCTTTCTCTTCAGTCCCTATGCTTTTACTGATATATGTAGATTCACATCGCAGCTCACACCGCCAGATCATAAGTATTGGCTTGAGAACATCACGTTAAGATTTATTAAGGCTTCATTCGCTGGTATTTAGATGAGCACAACGAAGAATACCACTCTAGTCTGATGACAGTGGTGAGGTTTTTCAGGATGTATTGGAGCGAAGAAACCGGCCGTGACATACCTCGTGAGTTAGGGCAGGATGTGACTGCAGTATGCTTTGAACAATCAATTTATTGATTCTTTGCTAACCCGAGAAGCTTTCTAATGATCTTAGTAAAGAGTATGGGCTTAACTTAGGCGCTAAGCAACAGCCGCCATTTAGCATCAACGAACTCTTACTTGGGTTTGCATCAGCACGAATCCCACATGGCATAATCAGCTTGCTCTTGAAAGAAAAGGGCTTTGACCGTACGATGACAAGTGTTCGGAATAAAATCTCAGCGATCCGCAAGCAGAATTCGCTTGGAGAAGCTTCCCACCAATTGATTGAACTTGAAGTTGACCGCTGGATCGGCCGTTTATCCCCTCGAGTCACTATTGACCAATTACTCACGCCTACATTACAAGACCAGCAAATACTTGACCAGGTAAGATAAACTCTTTGAGTATGCTGACTATGATGACTGATGAATCACTAGTATTGTACAGGAATCAATCTAGAATTCATATATTTCATTCGTCGCCCTCATTTCCACGCGATGTTTGACTAGATTCTTCCTTTGTCCCAACATAACCTCCATTTTGTCGATGTTCTCAGAGGTGAAGTAAAGGCGGCCGTGGTATTACGAGTGTCCGTCGAAAGGTCTTTTTGTCAAATATCATTTTTGGGGTCTTTGCTTTTGTGCCATGGTCATTTGCCTTTGGCGAATCGCCAAAGTCGGAGGGATCCCACGTATCGGTTCGGGGCCAATTCTTGGCCTATATGGAAATTTAGACTTCAAGACCTTCACCCTTTTCATTTCATGCGACTTACCACTTCTTCTGCTGCCGGAATCCATTCACTTTTGGGGTGAGAATCGTACGTAGTATAGCGAGGCCCAGACTTCAGCTTTTCCATAATGACGACATAGATGCGACGGTCACAACCTGTATCTAAGCCATCGACAAACAAACGATTGGCTCCTCTGAATGCGGCTTTCTTTTGGCGACGAAACCTTTCTCGGTTGGTCTTCGATAGTCTTCTGGCATTCGTAATACCTTCGGCTTGATGTCTTCTCTTCTCTCTCCACGGCGTAGCATTTTGGTTCTTCCGTGGCATTTTGAAAGGATTGGTAACTAAGATGTCAGCTTTTAATAAGAGATACACAAGCTTTTTATATCCTAAACTCCCTCAAGTGTTGAATTTGGAAAATCTGTTTTCGGATACAGCGAAACGATCATGAGTCTATCACAGTCGAAGCAACCAATTGGAGTGGATGGAGCCAGCCGCGCGACTATTATGATGAAAACCACGATTTGGGAAAACCGTGGTCTTCCTGTGTTTTATAAACTATTTCCGACATAGGATGCTTTTCTGACTTATTGGGAACTCAACCTGTTGCATCAGAATGTTCACCCCTGCGGATGTCATCTGCCCTTTCGTGGTAGAACAATGGCTGGAACCAGAGTCCAGAGGCATAGGTAAACCCCTGATTCTTCTTCCCTCATCAATTCCTGTTCTGAGGAGAAGTAGGTCACCATATCGAAACGCTAGAAAAGGTATCCATTAGAACTGAGATGGCAAATCATAATCTGGCCTTAGAAGCTGCTACCCTGCAAGCCCTTTCAGGCGGCGTTGGGATCCCGAATCTGTATTGGCTTGGGATAGCGTACGGGCAAAAGACTATGGTAACCGAGTTGCCTGGACAATCTCTTGAAATGGTCTTCAATCAATGTGGCCGACAATTCGAAATGCATATCTTGATCGAATTTGCATGCCAGATGATTTATCGTCTTGAATGGATGCATTCCCGTCACATATCACACGGGAATCTTACACCATCATCCTTCATGGTTGGACTATCAGAGTGGCAGAGACCACAGATAACAGTGGGCAGCTTCGAAACTGCCGACCTATTAGCCTTTTCGGCCCGAAAGGACCTTGAGGACGTGGGGAATGTTCTCTTATACTTTGCAACAGGATCTACGTCCTGGGACCGGTTCAAGGATTATGGGCAGGATTTCAAACAAGTGCCTCCTCTACTTGATTCTTATTTCAACGCAATACCGTCGGGTGAAGTGAATCCCGCTCATTATGCAAAGATTCGTTTCAATCTCCACGCCGCACGTCAGAGCCTCTCTAAGTTATCGCTACTTGGTGAACTTAAATCAACCCCAGATATGTCCTTGATCTTGAAACAGCTGTTTGGTAAAACTACGGGTGACTTGTTCAAGTGCCTTGGAGTGAAGATGTCATCTGTTGGACAGACAGCCGGCGCTGAAACATCCCCATGGACACAAGAGCAGGCGACATCTATTCTAGGAGCACTAGACGAGATCATGACAATTTTTATGGTTCTTCTCATGCGCGATAAGCCATCACCCATACGTCGGCGATACTTAATGGGCGCATATCATCTTCCAAATCAACTTTGGAGAGATCTACGTTGGTACCTTTGTATGGCAAGCTGTGGTTCCATCTCCTTCCGGCGCCTCATAGCGCTTCGCATCTACAAATACATGGGGGTCCTGCTTGAGGTAGTCCCTCTCTATAACGGGTACTGGACCAAATTTTTATCTGAGCTTGCATATGCACAGATAGGCCTTGACCTAGAGTCCTCCTCATTATGGAGACAAGCTTGGATATATTGGAAGGGTTGTGCCAACTACTTGAATAAAGGGGGATAATCGTTCATTAATGGTGTCATGTGATAATTCTTTTTTTTTTTTAAGAGAATTACAAGAATTGCACGCTGGAGGAGAGACGGGCCCTTTTTGTATCGAGTGGGAAAAATTTGATGAGTTACGGCATTTGGCTTTTGATCCACCTCGACTGTCAGATAGGCAGGAAGTTGAGAAGCTAGTTAAAAGATATGTATATCCATATGGATTGGCAAAGCTACCCCACACTATCCCTAATATATCTGTATTAAGGTTGGAAATCTATTAGGTCGTGGATGATGT